ATATAAGTACGAATTTAACGAAAATTGCCGAAAAACTTTTTGTCGTTGATAAAAAAAACAAAAAACAATAAAAAAAAAAAAACAGACGACATGCATTTAACGGATGTCAAAATTCGTTGAAAAATGCACCCCTAAACTTCACCTCTTTTTCGAACGTAACTCATAATTGATACAACAATAGTTAATAAAAATGAACACGCTACCTCCCCTGTCTAAATGATTGGATTTCCCTGGATCCTTGCAAACGAAAAATTATGAATTGTATGTGTGTTTAAAACTCGGTAAATTTTAAAAAATAAAGTATTACAAAATTTGCTTGAAGATGAAACAGAACTAATGTTTTTAATTTAATTATATAATTAAATTTGAAGTTTTCAGCTTCGGTGTTTGAAACATGGTAATTCCTGTGTAGCAAAGAAACCATATTCTGAATCAGTTAATGCAAAAGCCACACTATATCTATTCCACAACGATCTATCAACGCCATTATCAACAATTCTAGTATACTGTTTCACATTGTCCAACGAGTTTTTACGTTGGTGTCCTCTCCTACGTCCACCTCCAACGATGCCTTGAATTTTGGTTTTGCGCAGTCTGTCGTGTTTTGTAATGTGTCTAAACCGCACCATTTTTCTCCGTTTGGCAGTGGCAAGAAGAGGTTCCTGGTGGCCAATAAATGTTTCAACACTTTTCTGCACAAACTCAGTGGTTTTATGCTCCCAGTAGAAGATACCAATACATTTCTCATGCATTAGAAAAGACTCGAAACACAGTAAAAAGATATTTAAAAAAATGGAACACGATAATTTATATATATATATATATATATATATATATATGTATGTATGCATGTATGTAGGTGTGTGTGTGTGTGTGTGTAAAAATATGAAAAGAGGCTCTTAAAAAAATTTATATATAAAATTGATATTTAAAAGACTTAAGTAATTTTTTTCAAATAATATTATTAAAATTCTATTTTAATATTATTTTAATATTTTTTTAATATGAACGTACTGCTAAAAATATCTTGCTGTTCTAATTATATCATAAATCTCCCCTGTTTTTATGTGTGTGTGTGAAACCACATATTTAAAAGCCGACAATGGTCGATAGATATTTTTGGCAGTCTGTTTCATTAAACACAAATATTTTTCATTGTGTTTTGTCTTGAATTCACAGTGACAGTCTGTTTCAATTGTGTACAACTTAAGCCATTAGTTTTATACGCTGGTCAATGGTGCATTATGGGTAGGATATATAAATTATTGAGCCAAATAATCCTCTACTTAAATAACATAATGAATATTGTTAAAATTTAAATATTACTGTCATTGCTTTTTATTGACATCAGTGACCAAATTTATATTTATCATTTTTTCTATCATGATAACCATATTTAAACTTAATTCATTTTTTATAATATATATATATAATATATATATATATCAATTTACAGTTTAACAATAAAACTAAATTATATAAAAAAATTAAATCGTGATTTCGATTTATATTATATAAAAAAAAAATATATATATATAAAGTATATATATATATATATATCGGCAATATTTTGAAATCGTCATCAATTTTAAAATGAAATCAATATGTAAATAACTATTTTTTTTACTTTGTTAATTAAAATTTACCTTATTTTTCATATTCCATTTAGATTTTTATTTATCATTTTCATTTATTTTCTAACCTTTATTTCCTTAATAAATTACTTTCTAATTAATGTCTTGCCTTTCTGAATGGTCTCAAAAAATTTTTAATAAATATTTTCAATTTAATTATTTTTTTTTTTTTTAAAAAAATTAATCTTTTAACATATATTTGGTTATCTCTTTAAATTTTTGAGATAAAATGGATATATTTTCTCTTTTAGGGTCAAACAAAAGTTTTATTGGTCATGAGAGGGATATGTTCTGTTAATTTATCCATTTCTTTTCTTAAAAATTAAGAAAAATTTTTATGGCACTATGGGTTCAAAATAATTTGAAAAGACTAAAAACACGGTTATGTGTGTAAAATGTATTTTTTTTTTAATGTTAGTTAAAAAATAAACGTTATTTTTGCAAAACAATTCTGTTGACAAATAAATTTTTGTTTTATTGAGTTATATTTATTCTATCTTTATAATTAAAAAATTTAATTTTGGAAATCCATATTTTGATTTCTTATTTTTTCATGGGAAAAAAAATAAAAATGTTATATCTGATATAACTTTTGAATGTCAATGGTAAATGGAATAGGTTTTAAATCATGTTTTAAAATTGAAATGTTCTATTAATTTGTTCATAATATAATATAAAATTAATTCTGTAAATAAATCCAATCTAGACTTAAATTCAATATTATTATAATAACATTTTTTAATAAAGCGGAATTCCATCTTTTAATTAGAATTAGTTATTTTTAAAAAAAATTTTTTTTAATTTATAATAATTCGTAAAATAAATTACCAAATAACTTTAATATTGACATGGTTAAATCGCAGTTTTTGTTTTAGTCCATTTTTCCATGAAAATGGATATCTATATGATTTCTTTTTTTTATATTCACACATATATATATTCATTAAATAATTTATTTTAAAATATATATTTATAATATAATTACGTTTGATTATTTCAACAATGGCAGAAAGGCAGCATTTGAAAAATACTATAGGAATTATTAATAATTTTTGTTTAAAATAAAAATTTCTTTATTTATTTAATCCCTAATTAGGTTTATTTATAGGCATTTAAATTTGATATTTTCTTGTTTATAGAATTCTTCATTAAATAACATAAAAATTGAAAAAGATCTATTATAATATTTAAATAGGAATTTTTATTGTTATATAAACAATCACTTATATTATCAATAATGTTATATATTTTAGAAATAAAATGTCGTTAGAGTTTTCTATTTTATTATGTTTTAAAAAAATAAGACGACATCAAACATTATTAAATATTATGTATTTATAAATATATCAAAATATAAATATATATATATATATATATATAATTTCAATTTAAAATATGATTAGTTTCACACTACATAAGAGTTCTCAGCAAAAAAAACAATAAAATTTATGTATCTTTTTTTTTTTTCACTATTTTTTAAAAATAATAAAAGGCAAAAAAAAGAAATTTGGATTATTTAAAGACGTTCAGTTCATTTTAAATGAAAATAACATTTTCTAAAAAAACAAAAACACACAAAAAAAAACAAATATATTATAAATCATCAAAATGAATTAAAAAATCCTGATAACATATATATATAAATATAAAATATTTTAAATTTATTGCAAAATGATTTTATTTTTTTTTAATCAATTTTTATAATATGTTTTTAAAGCACTTGACATTCACAAAAATTTGAAATGATATCTTGAAATATTTAAAAGTTATGAAAAGTTTTCATTTACGATTATTTTTTGTTAATTACCTTTTTTGGGTTCGAAAGTTTGAAATTGATGAGTGAGATAAAACCATATAGCAATTTGAGGTGAATAAATAAACAACTACTAAGAGACTGAACAGAATTTTTTAAACCATTTTATAACCAATTTTGTTTTTTGATCAACATTTATTAATTATTTTGCATTTTACCATGAATATATTATCGGATATATTTTTTTGAATAAAAAATTGGAATAGAGGAACAGGTCATCTCGACCTTGACATGTTAATTTTTTGGATGGAATTAAATATTCGAAAATATTTTATATTTTTACAACTAAAAAACAACATAAAAAGACAAGAACCAAAGAAACGCACTTAATTTCCATTTTTATATTGATTTTTAAATTTTTAAAATTTATATTTATAAAAGAGTGCGTCCACGCGTGTTTTTGAAAAAATCATCATCGCAGCGTTCAAACTTTCAATAAGTTTGTTTTTGCAATACACCACTGAGGGTGATCTTAGAGATGATAGAAAATAATTAGGCAAGAAAAAAAAACGGCACCTCTTTTGATGAGTTTCAACTTAATATCAAGAAAATGATTAGATAACTAGAAAGGATTATTATAAAAAGATTTAGATATATGTCTATATTAATTAATGAAACATGTGTTTGAATGAATATATTATTATATATATATATATATATATATATATATATATATATATATATATATATATATAAAAGCAAAAACAAATAAAATAAATTAATCCAAATAAAAAATTTTTAATAAATAAATTAACAAGATAATTTTTCAATATAACCTTTAGAAATAGATTTTCCAATTTATTACTTATATTTTGGATACTTATATATAAATTTAGTTGATAAATTTCTAAATTTGGCCTGATGATTGCGTTTAAAAAAATTTTTTTTAATTTTGTAAAAATGAGTACACATTATTATAATATATATATATATATATATATATATATATATATATATATATATTAAGAAATGGACAAGGTCCGACAATTTATTTATTAAAGACATTTTTATGTTTAACGTTGTTATTTTATAGATACAAGTATTTAAGCAAATGCTCTGTTTATGATAAACAGTATTAAATAACATTTACCGGCCTGAATGTCCGAGAAATTTTCATAGAAAATATTCGTTCTTTGACAGGATTCGAACCTGCATCCTATACGGAACCGTCATATACGCTGACGTGCCTTTACATCTCTTACAAAGAACCGTTCGGTAGACAAGGTCGAATTTACTGCTTATAAACTTCAATCTTCCATGAATCTCGTACATTCATAACTGCTCTGGCGTATCAAATGTAAACAAATGACGTCATATATTAAGAAATGGACAAGGTCCGACAATTTATTTATTAAAGACATTTTTATGTTTAACGTTGTTATTTATAGATACAAGTATTTAAGCAAATGCTCTGTTTATGATAAACAGTATTAAATAACATTTACCGTTCTGAATGTCCGAGAATGCAGGTTCGAATCCTGTCAAAGAACGAATATTTTCTATGAAAATTTCTCGGACATTCAGGCCGTTAAATGTTATTTAATACTGTTTATCATAAACAGAGAATTTGCTTAAATACTTGTATCTATAAAATAACAACGTTAAACATAAAAATGTCTTTTAATAAATATATATATATATATATATATATATATATATATATATATATATATATATTATCAATCGATATCTGTTGGCGCTAACGGCGATGGTTGTGAAGGTCCACGAAACTTTTCTGAAGAATCGAGAGTAAGAATCAAAGAGGAATGTGTGTGATGAACGGGTCTGGGCGAGAGGGTCCCTCCTGATAGTACGTCGCAGACCCTCTTAAGTTTGAAGGTTGGACTCGAAATTCTGCCTTCACCCTCCGATGGTCTCCTGACGTGGACGAATATAACTTTCCAGATCTCTGTATCCTTCTACTCCCTTAAAGCGTCATTTTAGGCTTCCTCGGATCCTCTTGCCGTTGGCCGTCTCTCCAAACATGTTGACATGTCGGAGTCGAGTGAAAAACATTCTGGACTCGTGGCCCTCCCAGCGGAGAAGTTGTTGAAGGTTGATAGTCTCGGTTCCGGGGAGAGACGTCCAGGACAGACCTCGGTATTTTGGTGATTCGGTCCTCTTACCTGTTGTGAACGATTCTTCGGAGCTTTGTTTGCTAAGACCGATCCAGACTTTTGATGTTCCGTCGATACAAAGTTCATAGCTCGGAAACTTACGTAAGAGTGGAGTGGACCAAAGCCCAGAAGGCCTCATATGGATCTCCTTTCCTAATGTTCTTCTTTTTCTTTTTCTTCCTTCTTCATGGTCTTCTTCTTTTTCTTCCTTCTTCATGTTTTTCTTCTTCTTTTTCTTCATTCTTCATGTTCTTCTTCTTCTTCTTCTTCGTGTTCTTCTTCATTTTCTTCCTTCTTCATGGTCTTCTTTTTCTTCCTTCTTCATGTCTTTTTCTTTCTTCATGTTCTTTCTTCTTCATGTTCTTCCTTTTCTTCTTTCTTCATATTCTTCTTGTTCTTCTTCATTCTTAATGTTCTTCAAATTTTTTTTCTTCATCTTTTTTTCGGGATTTTTTTCTTCTTTCTTCTTCTTCTTCTTTCCTTCTTCATTTTTCTTCTTCTTAATTAAATCATAGGTTTTATAATTTTTTATATTTTCTTCATGTTCAAATTCTTTTCTTCATGTTCTTCTTCTTCTTCTTCCTACTTCAAGTTGTTCTTTTTCTTTTTCTTCATTCTTCTTGTTCTTCTTGTTCTTCTTTCTTCTTCATGTTCTTCTTCTTCTTCTTTCTTCATGTTCTTCTTCTTCTTTCTTCATGTTCTTTCTTCTTCATATTCTTCTTTCTTCGTGTTCTTCTTCTTCATTCTTCATGGTCTTCTTCTTCTTTTTTTCCTTCTTCATGTTCTTCTTCTTTCTTCTTCTTCTTCTTTATTTTTTTTTTTTTTTTTCTTCTTTTTCTTTTCTTCCTTTTTTATTCATGGTTTTCTTTTTTTTTTTTTTCTTTTTTCATGGTCTTCTTCTTCTTCTTTCTTCATGTTCTTCCTCGTCTTTTTCTTCATTCTTCTTGTTCTTGTTCTTTCTCTTTCTTCTTCATGTTCTTCTTTTTCTTCTTTTCAAAATATTCTTCTAATTTTTCTTCTTTCTTCATATTCTTCATCTTCTTCTTTTTCTTTCTTCTTCATATTCTTCTTCTTCTTCCTTCTTCGTGGTCTTCTTCTTTTTCTTCATTCTTTTTGTTCTTCTTTTTCTTCCTTCTTTATGGTCTTTTTCTTCTTTTTCTTCCTTCTTCATGTTCTTCTTCTTTTTCTTCATTCTTCTTGTTCTACTTCTTCTTTCTTCATGTTTTTCTTTTTCTCTTTCTTCATGTTCCTCTCTTTCTTTTTCTTCCTTCTTCATGGTCTTCTTCTTCTTCCTTTTTCATATTCTTCTTCTTTTTCTTCATTCTTCTTGTTCTTCTTCTTTTTCTTCATTCTTCATGTTCTTCTTCTTCTTTTTCGTCATTCTTCTTCTTCTTCTTCGCCACCTCTTCTTCTTCCGTCGGAGCTATAATATGTAGCAGAATTGAGAAATTTCCTAAAAACAAAACAGTAAGTAGTTTTTATTGTTGTTGTTGTTGTTCTTCTTCTTCTTTATCTTCTTCTTTTCCTCTTCATTCTCCTCTTTTTCTCCTTTTTCTTCTTGCAACTATTGTTGTTTTCCTTCTTCTTCCCATCTTCTACCTTCTTAATCCTCCTCCCTTCCTCTTCTTTCTTCTTCTTCATCCTCCTCCTCTTTTTACTCCTCTTTTTACTTAATCCTTCTTCTTCTCAACATTCTTCCTCTTCCTCCTCCTCTTCTTTCTTCTTCATCGTTCTTCACCATACTTCTCTTCTTCTTCATCGTTCTTCTTCATCCCTCTTCTTCTTTTTTCTTCTTCTCCCTTCTGCAGGCTTCTCCTCTACTTTTTTAAACTCTATATACATATACAGAAACGAATGTTTATATATATATATATATATATATATATATATATATATATATATATAAGTGTGTAGGTGTGTGTGTGCTTTGTGTGTGTGTGTGTGCACATGCTTACGTTTATATCTGTACAAATATTTGACAATACGCATGTGTATTACTTTTCTAAACAATGGATACTGGAATTGATTTTTTTTTTATTTTAGCACGATCTTATATTGGATATAGATGTCTTAAAACCAATTTCCCTGTGAGAGTAATCTGATATATAAGAGCTTTTAGGTCTTTGGTCAAGTTTGAAGGATGATTAACAACAAAAAATCACGATTCTGTTCTGGATTTTTTCGATACCATGGCTCAATTTCTTTCCTAATATGTTGATTGTGGCTCTATTCCTGTCCACTCCGGAGTCAACGTACGTGTTATGAAGGATTTAAGCAACATATATAAAAAACGTGTAAACATTGATCATACAGATTGAATACATATGCCATACACTGTATATATTTGATTCAAAGTCATACGTCAATATCCAAGCGTATAAAACCTTTTCTTGAATGCCTTTCTCGTTTTCTACCACTGACTCTCGTTTTCTTCCACCATGCCTCCACCCCCAACACGCTGGCACACACATATATGGAGGCACGGTGGAGTTGTATATATTTAGGATTTTTTAGGTATTTTTCAGTTTTCCGAGAAAAAAAAAAATATATATATATATTTTTTTTTATTTATATATATATATATATATATATATATTTTTTTCTTTTTTCTCGGAAAACTGAAAAAGAATAAATTTATATATATATATATATATATATATATATATATATATATATATATATATATATATATATATATTTTTTTTCTCGAAAAAACTGAAAAATACCTACAAAAAATCCAAATAATCTCTGAATCAGATAAACCTTCTTTCACTCTCCCTCTCACTGTCTCTTCCCCTCTCTCCCTCTCTCTCTCCCCCTCTCTCTCTCTCTCTCGATCTATCTCTTTTAAGTATTCCGTCTGACTTTTGAAATCAGCAAACGATACATGATGCAAGGAAGAAAGGAATTACAACCCAGGTTCGCCTTACTTCGTAACTAGCAATTTAGTTTTTTTATGGAAGCAAGAACTTATTAGACTCAAACAATGCTGGTATAGTAATAGAACACATGATTACTAAGTAGGAATATCAAGCTGCCTGTCTCATTAGTATAGGAACTGACATTGTATTTTATATTATAGAATAGATATTACATTAGGAATTTGACTATTTAAACTATTTATCTTCGGAATATTGTTCTCATTTTTGCTGTTGTTATCACAAAGTTTTGACCGTTGGGCCTTCTGGCTTTATTGGGTAACCTACAGAACTGAACACTTTATTTAATCTACGGGGTAGACTGTTCTCGTTTCATTGCCCATGTCTTTTTATATCGTCTAGTTTCTTTTTTATTTTATTTAGTACTGCTCGAACCAGGGATTGAACTGACTATGTCACCAGATTCACAAATCTACACTTTAACCTCCTGTAGGACAATTTGCTGTAGTGATCTTGGGGTGATAAATATCACCAGCCTGTCCGAACATAAATGGTGTAAATAATGAATACTCTTCATCGCAGAGATTCAGACACAAATTAAGGTAGTAACGTATCATGTAGATTTTCCGAAATATTTTCACCGGAAAATATTCACCTTATATATAGATATATATATATAAAATGAATATATTTGACGTACGGGGCAAACCAAGTGTAAAAGTCAAACAAATTAGACGAAAACATTTCAGTCATCAACTAACGCGTTTTTATTTATTTATTTAATCTGTGTTTTTCCCTTGCGATAAGATGACACAACATTTGATGGCTTTAAGAATATTTAAATTGAAATTCTAATATATTTTCAATCATTATTATTATTATTATTATTATTATTATTATTATTATTATTAAATATTTATGTAGGACTGTTTGTCTTCATTTTCCCTACTTTGGAATAAGTTGTAAAGTAGGTTTAGTTTATTTAAGAAAGTTATAAAAAAAGTTATACGGTTTGGAACAAGTGCTGATAATTGAAACATCGATCAACGTTCCCTGGATGACAGATCTTAAGCAATATCCATTAATGTGAAGTACATCTAAAATGACACAGTGGAGTAATGGATAGTGGCTCAGATTGAGGAATTGGAGAGAAATGTTCGAATTCCAGTCAAATTAATTACATTCACTTACGTGCAAATTGGTTGGGAAAGGTATTGATCCTCTCCTTCTCCTCCACCCAGCTATGGAAAAATATCAGGAGAGACTGATTTAAGTCGTCCAACTTGCCACTGTGTCATCCCTTCCATGTTTTCGGGACAGAACACTACATGATTACCTACCAAGTTGCTAAACCCACCATCGGGCTAGCCCGCGTCGAGGTAAGAAACCGGAAAAGTGAACCTTTCTGTTGTTACAATACACATTAGAGAGTTTAACAGAGTCGTGCTGAGGAGATAATTCTTGCCCCCCTCTGGTAGTACAGCGCATCAATGTTACTGCTACTTTCAAGGAAACAAAATACCATGCCATTTTTACAAAACCCACATTACATTCCACTCACAGAATCAAAATTTCAAGTCACAATCACAGAAATCATTTTTCAATCAACGTTTGCAGAATCCAGCATTCATGCCCTTCTCACAGAATGCAACCTTCATGCCACATTCAAATAATACTCTTTTCATGACACGCTAACAGAATCCAACTTGCATGCAGCTATCACAGAATCCAACTTTCATGCCAATCACACAGAATTCAACGTCCATGCCACTCTTACGAATCCACTCAAAGAATCCATATTTCAAGTAACTCTCCGAGAATCCACATTTCATGCGACTCTCGCTGAATTCCCCTTTCATTCCACTCTTACAGGCTCCAAATTCATGTCAGTCTCATAGAATCCGCCTTTCATGCAACTATCACAGAATCCCGCTTTCATTCCACTCTCAGAATCCACCTCTGAAGCCATTCTCACAGAATCCAGCGTTCATACAATTCTCACAGAATACACTTTTCATCACACTCTCACATAATCCACCTTTAATGCAGATCTTAGAGAACACACGTTTCATTTAACTGACTCAAAATCCATGTTTATTAACACATTCAGAGTATTCACCTTTAATGGTTTCTCACAGAAACCAGCATTCATGCTCGATTCACAAAATCCACCTTTCATTCAAATCTCAAAGACCCAGCCTTTCAAGCAACTCTCCCAGAATCTAGCTTTCATGCCACATTCAAGGAATATATTTTCATGCCACTCCCACAAAATTCAACTTTCATGCAACTATCACAGAATCCATGAATCAGTCCACTGTCACAGAATGCACCTTTTATTCAACTCTCACAGAATCCACCGTTCATGCCACTTCCACATAATCCACTTTCATGCCCCACTTGCAAAATCTAACTTTTATTCTAATCTCAAAGAATCAACCTTTCAAGCCACTTTCACAGAATCCAGCATTCATTCTACATTTAAAGAATATTCCTTTCATGAGGCACAGAATCAAACTTTCAAGCGGCTTTCCCTGATTTCATATTCAATGCGATTCTCACAGAATTTACCTTTCATGCCATTCTTGTAGAATCCAAATATCAACCCACTATCACAAATATCACATTTGAGAAAAAAAATGATTTCTGTGATTGTGACTTGAAATTTTGATTCTGTCAGTATGGAATGTAATGTGGATTTTGCGAAAATGGCATGGAATTTTGTTTCCTTGAAAATAGCAGTAACATTGGTGCGCTGTACTGCCAGATGGAGGCGAGGATTAGCTACTCAGTACGATTTTCTGTTATACTCTCTGATGTGTATCCTAACAACAGAAAAGTTCACTTTGCCGGTTTTTCAAAGAATATACCTTTCATGCCACTCTCATACAATCCACATTTCATCCAACTATCACAGAATTCACCTTTCATTCCATTCTCACCGAATCTAACTTACATAGCGGGTCTCAGAAAATCCATTCTTGCTACTCTCAGAGAATTTAACTTTCATGCCACTCTTATAGAATCCAAATATCAACCCACTATCACAAATACCATATTTTATTACATTCTCACAATATCCGCTATTCATGTCACTCCCACAGAATCCAGCTTTCTCCGCGCCCCCACAGAATCCACGTTTCATGCCCAACTCACAAAATCCACTTTTCATTCTACACTCACAGAAGCCACCTTTCAAGCCATTCTTACAGAATCCAGATTCCTTGTCAAATTCAAAGAATATACCTTTCATGCCACTCTCATAGAATCCAAATTTCATCCAACTATGACAGAATTCACCTTTCATTCCACTCACCGAATCTAACTTTCATAGCGGGTCTCATAGAATCTCGCTTTTATGTCACTATGAAATAATACATCAAAATTTCTTTTAAAGTTATTTTCTACATGGGTAATTCCTGGAATTTCTTTCCAACGTAAATTCGATTCTTTTTGATGGATGAAGCGAATAAATGACAAAATGTTTTCGCTTTCAATATTATCACCCGATTCATCTTATTATTCCACAATAGGTCATTGAGGAAATTTTGCACATTACACTAAATATCTGCGCGCAAATCTATAATATTATTTTCTATCTTATTATCGGATAATGGAATTGTCTTAATTTCATTTTCATATTCTATACTAAACTTTTAAATGTACAAGTTGATAGAAATAATGAATCGTCAAATGTGTATGATTCCATTTTTTCCAATAGCTTCGGCAATTATATAACTTTATTATTTTATCCCTTTATCTCATTTTCCGTGATAGGCATGACAGAGTTCAAAACTGTATATCCTGCATTGTGTATGATGAATGTTGTATATTCCACTCAACATCCCCTTTTCCTCAGTCGAAAAGCTGTTAGCTTCTAGAATGTTTACAGCTATTTTCATGGCAAATATCTTAACGACGGACAGTCATCTATTCCATTACCAGAAAAAATTCACAGCTAGGACCTGTGTTATGTACAGAGGTCGATTCATTCTCATTCACTTCATATTTTATTGGTGAGGAACATGTTCCATTAAGAGAGCTTACCCGGAACTGTTACTGTGTAAAAAAGGACTCCCAAACGGATGCTTCCCTAATTAGTATAATTTTAATCTATTCAGTTCTAACGTTAAAATTTATTTATGCCGTTATATGGCGCCCAGTTGAAACTTCTCACTAAAAAACCCTCACCTGCTGCATCCATGATTTCGAATACCGCGCTCGGCATCAGAACCATCAAGGAGTTGCCCTGGTTCGATCCTGTGTCGGATGAAGATCTCTGTCTGAGGACCAACCAGCCGAATATCTTCTGCACTGTCTCAGTGCGCCGTTTTTGTTGGATCAATTATGTCCTGCAACAACCTGACGAAAACGCTAGAGTCATCGAGCTGTTCGACCCGCAAACTGCAAGCTGGTTAAGCTCTTGCTGTAGGATGATCCAACGCGCTGACAAGACGCATTATATCTAGAGGAATAAGTTGGTTTATGTGGGCTCAACGCATTAATTTAGCAGTAGCAGTAGTAACGTATTTTGTTGATCTTATTAAGTGTCTGAAAAGTTACTTAAAGATTATTTTTTAAATTGTTCCTTTGTTTCGTGTTCTCTTAAGAATTCCATGGAGATATAAATAAATAAATAAATATTTTAAATTTTTTGAGTAATTCTCCAAGTATAAGAAGAGTGTGACCGGAAAAAAAAATCCTAGGGTCCAGGGAGTGCACAATTAAAGAATTTGGAAAATAAAAAATTCTCCGAGAGTTAAGCGTGTAGCAAGTAAACGCTTGCGAATAACACTTTACAAGTTGCAGTTTATTGATATCATAAAAAGCATGACAAGCAATTCTATGCCAAATTTATGAAGATCTGTGAAATCGTTCATGAAATCCGCATACTTTTGAGTTTTTTAATTTTATGATCAATTTTATGCAGGAAATAGGGTAGTGGGGGTGGGGATTCGAACAATCCACAGGCAAGTTTTGGAGAGATTTAAA